ATGTATTAGAAAGTCCTCCTTTGCAAATAGTGATAGACGGTTGGAACTAGTGAGGAGCGAGAAGGCGGTGGAGGCCAAAACCGTCAGTATTTTCAAAGCCGTCATATTATAAAGTACTGTACTGGGAAGACGGGATACTACAAGCATAGCTACCATCCCTCAAGCGTCTCGTAGTACATCTGGGTTCCTTCTCGACTCACAAGCAGGGATCCCAGGTAGGACAGAAATGGTTGGGCAAATTTGCCTTCACCTAATACCTCTTATTCACATAAAAAAAAGTTTAGTCAACTGTAGTGTGATTGCATCCTGGGAAGGGCCAGTAGTTCGACCTTGGGGGACCTCGATACAAGTCTAAAATATATGTAAACACAGGCTTCCTGTCCGCGGCAGAACGAATTACACACACGACGGCGAGTTGCGCACGCACACGGTGGTGAGTGCAGGTATACACATATGATGACAAGTACTGGCGTGTACGTCCGTATGTACACGCACGCACGCACACACTCTCTCTCTCTCTCCTACCAGACAAGTTCCAAAACCAGTAAGTCTTCCATCCTACCAACTTCCTGACAGCAATTCCAGAACCGATAGGGAAGGGGAGGGGGTCTAGCAAGATAGCATCTCTCGATAATCGGGTATTAAATCCTCAGGAACAATGGGGCAATCTTAATAAGCCGCCGTTTTCATATCCCCGTCGAGGCTACTAGAGAGATGGTGGACCTCAGGTAAATACAGGTAAATATCCCAACGTTAGTTTAGAAATATCCTGCGCAAATATTTGCTGAATCGTACCAAAGACATACAGGTATCCGACGTCATTGTGCTGGCAAGACTTTGTCCGAGGAAGGCGTTGAAATTGCAAATCATTTATATGCATACCAGAGACCAGATCAGGTGAATGACTCGTACATGTAAACATAGCCCAGTGGTCCAGTCAGCTCTCTATTTTGCCATGCTCACATTCCCTGTGTTTATCTGATTCCAAAAACGGGTAACCATCCCGTGAGATGGGGATATTACATGAAGCTAGTTTTTTATATGTTCTCTGTAATTCCTCATATAGAATGGGGGTAGCAGCACACTGCTGCGTACCCAAGCTTGTTAATAAAAGGAAGAAATTGCAAAGCCACCGAAAATTATTATATTGTACAGAGTTGCCTGTCATGATGGCGTCAGGACTGAAGAATTAGCTAAATAAAATAATAAAATTAGATCAAGACATTTCTGGAGGTGTTGAAGTGTTAAGGTATAAGACCCGATAAATACTAGCATGCATACGCTATTAACATAAAAGTTCATACACACATACTACACAAAGTGACCGCCTCACCCTAGGCTATCAAGAGACCAACCTTCCAAATTACGCAGCCTCATTAAGCTAGATATCACCTGCTTGGCTATATATAAATTAAGATGCATATTCCATATATCATTTACATTTAAATATAACTTATTTTATATTACGTTGTTAAGCCTTTGCCAAAATGAGGTAAAAAGTACAATTAAGGAGAAAGAGCTAAGCCAGAAGGACTGCATATAAGCATAAGTTGAATTAAAATAATTGATAGAAAAATGCGTGTATGGTTCTAACCGGATGACTTAGCTTTTGTCTATTGTAGAAATTTGACTTTAAATACAATTTACTTTATACGATACTTGAAGATTCTCCAGTTTAGTTCATTTATTATGCAGCCCCATATCCATCCTGTGAGCGGTAGTGGAAACGGTTACAGAGGCACATAATGGGCTCAGGGACTGAACCCCACAATTCATTAGGTCAGCAAGCTACAATCTTGATGAGCTAGTTACAAAATTAAATGCACATCGTCACATCAACAATGGGCTCGAGACCGACCACAAGTACAATTTCAAAATTAAGCAACTGACATATGTGGAGAGCTAGTGTCACAATTGATATGTTTGTCCTGCACACCGCCCCCCATCCAGTGGGCAGCGGTGGATAGGTTACAATCACTTAGTTGCTACTACCTGCAGTTAGCAAACTGAGGGACATTTGGCTAAAATTTCTGATAGCAGATAATTTTGAATGAAATATTTACACATCACTGGAACATGTTATAGAATTGTCTCTGAATTCCCGTATCTTTTCGCACTGCATCACATAGTGACGGAGGGTGTGCGAATAATTTTGTTGACAGTTTACATTTGGTCAGGTCTACATCAGTAGATAATGAGAATTCCCAGAGATACTTGTAACAGAGTCTAAGCCGAGCAGTAGCAACATCTAGAAGTCTGCCGATTTTATTGGATGATCCATAGGTGTGTGGCTCCTCTTGCATGATAGTATGATGATGAAATTACTGGTGTCGATTTCACTTTGCCTCAGATCTACAAGATTTTGTTGAAGTTCTTGGTGTACTATTGCTCTCAGACTGCTTATTGACAAATCAAGGTTATGCTCAATTTCTCCTTTAAAGCACATTCTTTGGCTAACTCATCAGCTCTATCATGCATTCAGAGGCCAACATGAGATGGAGTCCACATGAAATGGACCCTGTTACCATCATTAATAATTTTGTTGTATTTGTGTCTAGCTTTAGACACAAGCATGTTACAGTTATGTCTTAAAGAGTTGAGAGGAATTAAGGATTCTCTACATACATACAAAAATAGAGCATATACAAAATGTTCACAGTACTGTGAATTGGGGTTTCCAAGAAAGGTTAAAGGCAAGATTTAAGAGTGCGAGAAGAGACTACGTATGTCTCACATACAGTACTTTCTAACGGTACACATGTTTCAGATCCATTATGTTTGGATTCCACCGCACGCACACACATAAATCGATAATACACTGAATATTCATGGGACGTTTGTTCTTTAAACCAAGCGTTTCCGATGATCGAATTTCATCAGAATAACATTATGCCTCACTCTTAAATCTCTATTTATGCCAGAAACTTATAGAAATTAACAACATCCAAGTAGTTAACCAGTTGAGGTGAGAACTTAGCTGTACTGCGGCTACAGACCCCACCCGTTGGTAGAGAGGGGGAAACTGGTTGCCCGCCAACATCACTCGTCGGAGTAGGGGAAGGGGAGAAGGGGCACAGACTCGACCCGTAGAAGGGGAAGGGACCACACCCGTCGATGGGGGGAGGGACCACACCCGTCGACGGGGGAAGGGACCCCACCCGTCGATGGGGAAGGGACCACACCCGTCGATGGGGGGAGGGACCACACCCGTCGATGGGGGGAGGGACCACACCCGTCGACGGGGGGTAGGGACCACACCCGTCGATGGGGGTAGAGTCCACACCCGTCGATGGGAGAAGGGACCACACCCGTCGTTGGGGGGTAGGGACCACACCCGTCGATGGGGGTAGAGTCCACACCCGTCGATGGGAGAAGGGACCACACCCGTCGTTGGGGGGTAGGGACCACACCCGTCGATGGGGGTAGGGACCACACCCGTCGACGGGGGGTAGGGACCACACCCGTCGATGGAGGAGAAGGACCACACCCGTCGATGGGAGAAGGGACCACACCCGTCGACGGGGGAGAGGGACCACACCCGTCGATGGGGGAAGGGATCACACACCCGTCGATGGGGGAAGGGACCACACACCCGTCGATGGGGGAAGGGATCACACACCCGTCGATGGGGGAAGGGACCACACCCGTCGATGGGGGAGGGACCACACCCGTCAATGGGGGAGAGGGACCACACCCGTCGATGGGGGAAGGGCCCACACACCCGTCAATGGGGGAAGGGACCACACCCGTCGATGGGGGGAAGGGACCACACCCGTCGATGGGGGGAAGGGACCACACCCGTCGATGGGGGGAAGGACCACACCCGTCGATGGGGGGAAGGGACCACACCCGTCGATGGGGGGGGGAGGGACCACACCCGTCGATGGGGGGAGGGACCACACCCGTCGATGGGGGGAAGGACCACACCCATCGATGGGGGGAGGGATCACACCCGTCGATGGGGGGAAGGGACCACACCCGTCGATGGGGGGAGGGACCACACCCGTCGATGGGGAGAAGGGACCACACCCGTCGATGGGGGGAAGGGACCACACCCGTCGATGGGGGGAAGGGACCACACCCATCGATGGGGGGAGGGACCACACCCGTCGATGGGGGGAAGGGACCACACCCGTCGATGGGGGGAAGGGACCACACCCGTCGATGGGGGGAAGGGACCACACCCGTCGATGGGGGGAAGGGACCACACCCATCGATGGGGGGAGGGACCACACCCGTCGATGGGGGAGAGGGACCACACCCGTCAATGGGGGAAGGGACCACAACCATCGATGGGGGGAGGGTCCACACCCGTCGATGGGGGGAGGGACCACACACGTCGATGGGGGAGGGACCACACCCGTCGATGGGGGGATGGACCACACCTGTCGATGGGGGGAGGGACCACACACCCGTCGATGGGGGGAGGGACCACACCCGTCGATGGGGGGATGGACCACACCTGTCGATGGGGGGAGGGACCACACACCCGTCGATGAGAGAAGGGACCACACACACCCGTCGATGGGGGAAGGGACCACACACCCGTCGATGGGGGAAGGGACCACACCCGTCAATGGGGGAAGGGACCACACACCCGTCGATGGGGGAAGGGACCACACCCGTCGATGGGGGAAGGGAACACACCCGTCGATGGGGGAAGGGACCACACACACCCGTCGATGGGGGAAGGGACCACACACCCGTCGATGGGGGAAGGGACCACACCCGTCAATGGGGGAAGGGACCACACCCGTCAATGGGGGAAGGGACCACACACCCGTCGATGGGGGAAGGGACCACACCCGTCGATGGGGGAAGGGACCACACACCCGTCGATGGGGGGAAGGGACCACACACACCCGTCGATGGGGGAAGGGACCACACACCCATCGATGGGGGAAGGGACCCCCCCCTCATCGAATGGTTCTTTAAACACCTAGTATTATAAATAAATATATTTACAGACCATAATATTGGTTGGTATTTAAACATTCTTCTTTCAGTAATGCTTTCAAGCATTTTATTCTCTTTTTTATATACAGTACAAGTGATCAAATGCAAATATAATAATAATAATAATAAATTATAATCTGCTGCTCCAAATTTCCATGGGCAAGCGAGATAATTTTATTTAGATTGATGGGTTGCCAATTTGGGAACACACTCAACAAGGTTTGCCATCCCTGGCCTTATGGGAACTAGATTATCCTAAAAGTCTTCCTGTCCTCGACTATAATACACCAAACTACAGTATATATATTGTAGTGTCAAATACCTTGTTAACATCTCAAGAATGCTATGAAGTATCTCAAATCACGTTTGAGGTAATTTGTTTGAACCATTTACTTGTTATTTCTAGCAGGATGCACTCACCGTAAGGACTGAAAATTAGGTAATTTCATTTGTGAGGAATTTAATATAAGCTGTGATGCCGGACAATCCTGGGGTCAATTTCTCATTTGTAACAAGGTGATTGGTCGTGTGATGTGTTATTAGTTGTACAACACTGATCAACAGTTTGGTGGTTTATAGTGGATAGTGTATAGCTTGGTGTATAGTTTATAGTTTGATGGTTTGTAGTAAATAGTGTAACATCTACTGAATGTAATTTTCTTCAAAAATACCCTCAAGCGCTTTAAGCCCGTTCTCAGGGAAAGTGATCAGAATAAGACACCAAACCCCCTCCCCCCACTCAAACAACCTGGATAGTTATCTAGGTACTTGTGATGGTCTGAGAGCATATTATAGTTCCAATAATAGTCTACTTGTAAATTGATAAGTGAACCTTTGTCCTAAACAGAGAAGGTTATAGTTTTATTGTATTATAAATCAATGATTCAAAATCTACAAATGTTGATGCTTAATGCATTTTCTTTGAAACAGTCCGAGGAATTTGGTTTTGGTCATAGAACAGTCTTGTCAGGTTGTCAACTTCCATGAAGCGATCCATTGTGTGTGCCTGGACAAATATATGGTGAAGGAATTTGTTGGGGTTCTTGGGGGAGATGATCTGGTTGCATTTGGTGGCCAGTTGTCTTCTCATTTGTGCGTTACCTCGATATCTTGATCTTCGATGAAAAGGAGATAGCATGAGAGTTTCATGCGTCTGGTGTGTTCCCCGTCTTCAGGTTTGGGTTCTTTGGCTTCTGATTCGATATAGGTAACTTCAAGGTCCCCGTTGTATGCTGGTGCTGTTGTTGTAGCAGATAGGTGGTTCTGTATATTCTTATCTCCCCCTTCTCCTGTCCCACGTTTGTGCCAGAGTGAAAGGTGTCGAGGTTGCCACTGGGTGGTGGTGATGTGTTGATGCAGTAGCTGGTGCCCGAGTCATTGGGGCTGCTAGCTCTGCTATCAGTTCCGCCGGCTGAGTTGTTTGGGCTGCTAGTTCTGCTATCAGTTCCGTTTCCGGAGATGATGATGATGTTGCTGCTGCTGGTTCTGATGTTGCTGTTGGGATCTGTTCTGGTCGAGTTGAGGTAGCTTGTGGAGTCTGTAGTAGGTGCGGTGAAACCGACATCTTGGGTAGACCAATTGCAGTGAGAAGTCTGTCGAGTATTTTCATGCACTTGGCGATGTCTGTTCCTGCCAGCTTCTCTGCAAGGTGAATCAGTACAGGAACCAAGGCGGTGGCGGCCGAGGCTGCCGATCGGTTGATCGATGTGCTGGTTGCCTGGGCTCCCGTAGCCTGTGAGTTGAGCTCCAATGCTCAAATGTCTCTCTTAGCAGCCATGGTAGGCCATAAAATAATTTGGAGTTGGGTAGACTTCAGCTCCTGGTCTCTTATCATAAAGAGATTGTAGCATTTACCCGGGCCAACATAAAAATCTTAAGTACTGCACATATATTTATTTTGTAATATGTTTTATTTTTCATACAGATTATTTCTGAATATCATATATTTCCTATGTAAATTAAACAAAAAATCTATTTTGTTTGGTCTTTGTTACTATCACTATTCAAGGCTGATGAATACCAGAGGATATGTTGACCACTGCCCAGGCAAAAATACAGGTAGATGATTTGTGTGTATTTTCCATACTTTTCAATACAGATGCACCATTTCACAAGAATAAAACAACTAAATTAATTATCCTCTTTTTCTTCTGTTTAAAGGCAGGGTGGCAAATTTAATGACTGCCCCACTTTAGGGGTCAAGATTTAATCATGAGGCGACATAATTAAACAATCATTGTTTCGAATAACAATAATAATAAAATATTTATGTACAAAAAGGTACATTGGGTTTATGAGAGTATATAGCATTGATGTTTTTACATTCTTGTAAAGCCACTAGCACGCATAGCATTTCAGGCAGACATGTTATTGTTATTCCTGTTAATTCAACAGGTTAAATGTCGAGTTTCATTGTTCACTAATTACTTGGTGGCAATTCCACGCAAGTGAGGAGAAACAACTTTCATAAACGCCACTGGTATTGGTGCATACAGCCTTTCAGCACAGACATTTGAGAACCCTATAGTATTTATTATTGGTAAAGGGTCACGATTTAGACAACACCCATCAAACACAAATGGCCAGATCCCCAACCACGTCAGCATACTTTGAAGATGCCGACGCATCCAGTGCTTCTTTAGGTCCCACTCCTGAATGTGCTCTAGGAAAAAAAATTTGCCACCCTGAAAAAAATCAATTAAGATATAACTAATGCTTCATATAGTCTCGCAATAAACCCAGTTACACAATAACTAATGCTTCACAAAGTCTTGCAGAGAACTCGGTTACACTATAATGCTTCATAAAGTCTTATGGTAAACATTTATTTAAAGCAGTACTGTAATTTAAATAGTAGCCAAGTGTAATTTAAAGCAATTGTTTCATGTAATGTACAGTAGTTTTTAAAAGGAAAAAGTGTAAACTATTCAACATGAATGATACAGATAGCAGTACAGTATCTGTATACAGCATATATAAATACTGTATATGCTATACACAGCATATATATACAGCATATACAAGATACTGTATATGCTGTATACAGCATATTATATATACTGTACATACATACAATATTGTACATGGAAAATTATTCACAATAACATGTCAATCAATATTAGAGAAAAATCACAAGAAACAATTCCCAATGCATTTACAGTATTTATTAAATCTTCTTGGGATTACCAAAAGGCAGGAGTGTATTAAAAAAAAAATTATGGCTGGTTTCCATTTTCACTGAAATAGGAGAGGGAATGGAAAGTTATTTGGTCTGCAACCTGCAGCAATGCAATATTGCCGACGAGTCAAGCAAAGAAGAGAGCTGCGAGAATTGTGTTGGTGCATTTATGTGTTTGCAGTTTCACTTTAGTTTACACAATGTGGGAAATTACTCAATTTATTTACCCCTAACTGACAAAAACAGTGATCAGGTATGTACTTTATATTGGTCTAAAATTAAATGGGCACACTTATATTGCATGTAAATCTGTTCCCGTTATAGCTCAAAGGAAGCGTCTTGTGACCAGAGCTAGTAACGTCGTCCAGAAACAGACTCAAACACCAGTGGGAAACACCAAATTGCGATTTAATGGTATAGTACTGTAATTACATTGCTTTTGGTACAAGAGAACCTCATTGATAGCATGCAGTTAAAAATGATAGAAGAATTTTGTTCATAGGTCTAGGCTAATTCCATTACATCCACATAAATTTTATCATAACCACATTTATATCATTTGTATATAAACCAGGCAAAAATACAGTATCTAAAATCATCATATGATAATGGAATTGTCCCCCTGGGATTTAACATTGTGATGATAACTACACTTTAAGGGTTAATGAATCATTTCTCACATTTTTTGAAGCCTGTAGATATAACATGTGTAGATTTGACAAAGCTGTTGCTCACAACACTGAAGTGTAATGACAATGACATTATGAAATGAATTTCCATGGTTGGTCAAGCTTATGGTAATGGCAGCAATATGTAGGGTAGATACAAAGATGTACAAACACACATACAGTACAATAGGTCAACAAATCAGTTTTCCATGAAACACTGTGTGGCCCATAATTTCTAATCTATTATTTTGTAATGGCAAGCAGTTTGCATTATAACATAGTACCAATCAACGAAAATGGTAGTCAAGAGGAACCTTTAAATTATAGACCCGTATCATTAACAAGCGTGGTAGTCAAAACACTAGAAAAAATAGTTAAAGCCAAATGGGTTGAACACCTAGAGATTAATGGCATATTAATGGACAGGCAGTATAGTTTTCAAACAGGAAGATCCTGTGTAACAAATCGTCTTGGTTTTCATGATGGAGCAACAGAGATACTAGAAAAGAGGTGGTTGGGTTAACTGTCTATCTGGACATAAAGGCTTTTGATAGAGTCCCACACAAGAGGCTGTTTTGGAAACGAACATGCTGGAGGGGTGACAGGGAGACTTTTGACATGGATGATAAAATTTTCTAAATGATAGACAGATGAGGGCAGTAATCAGAGACAATGCATCAGACTGGAGAAGTGTTACTAGTACCACAAGGTTCAGTTCTTGCGCCAGTAATGTTTATCATCTACATAAACGATCTACCAGTAGGAATACAGAATTATATGAACATGTTTGTGGATGGTGCTAAGATACTGGGGAAGATAGGAGATGCAGACAATTGTAAGGACCTTCAACTTGATCTAGATAAAATAGGTGCTTGGGGCATCAAGTGGCAATTGGAATTCAATGTGAATAAATGCTGTTATGGAATGTGGATTCGGAGAAAATAGACCACATACAACTTGCAAATTATGTGGATAGGTATTACAGAACTCTAATAAAGAATGAGCCCTAGGGGTGGTTTTGAATAGTAAGCCATCATCAAAGGAACACAAAGAACATTGTGAGAGGAGCGTGTGCGTCACTTTCCAACTTCAGACTTGCTTATTATTATATGGATGGTGAAATATTAAAGAAACTGTTCATGACCTTTGTGAGACCAAAATTGGAATATGTAGCAGTTGTATGGTGCCCAAATCTCAAGAAGCACATAAATAAACTGGAAAAGGTGCAAAATGACTTCCGGAACAGAAAAACCATGAGTTACGAGGAGAGACTAGAAGCATTAAACATGCCAAAACTGGAGGACAAAAAAAAAAAAGAGGTGATATGATTACCATGTACAAAATACTAACAGGGATTAAGCAAATTGACAAAGAAGAATTCCCGAAACCAGCAACTTCACGAACAAGAGGACCCAGATTCAAGCTAAGGAAGCAAAGGTGCCGAAAAAATATTAGAAAGTTTTCTTTTGCAAACAGAGTGGTAGACGGTTGGAACAAGATAAGTGAGAAGGTGGTGGAGGCCAAAACCGTCAGTAGTTTCAAAGCGTTATACTGTATGACAAAGAGTACTGGAAAGACAGGACACCACGAGTATAGCTCTCATCCTGTAACTACCTCTTAGGATATTACATTTTCTAAGAAAGTTTAAAAACAAAACAAAATTCTATACAGTACTTACAGGAACTAGAATGCGTTGGATCTGACTGACAACTTTGGCAATGTCAGTCACACTACACAAAACCAAAGTCATAACAACAGCATCTACACTTTCACTTTTCACCATATCCATATCTTCTCCTGAAGGATTAAAAACACATTAATTAATTTAATTTAATGAATTAATTCGTAATCCACAACAGATGCCTAACTCCTAGGTACCTATTTACTGCTGGGTGAACAGCAACATCAGGTGTAAAGAAATACTGAAACATTTCTGACCTGCCATGAGAACAAAACTCTAGACCTTTCAGTTGTGATCCAATAACTCTCACCATTATGCTACAGGACATTTTTCTACATTATGAAAAATGACGTGATAAATGAAGCCAGTCGTTTAGAAAGTCTTTTATGTTTAAAACTCGCTTTTAAATGATACTAACTTTGTATAATACAATATAAATGGTAATATTAACTATCGTACAGATCAAAAGTTTATACCTGTTGATATAATGATCGATTCAGATTTAACATTTGGAAACTTGGCCCGGTTTTCATTGAAGTATTTACTGAAGTATGGGTTAGGATCCACAACAATTAGCTGGCAACCATCTGGGTAGTAGGTAAAGTTGGTCCCTAAAACAGAATCAGATATTAATAAAAACTCATACTATTAATATCAAATTATAAAGAAATTATTAATGGATAAAATCATACGTAAAATACTAAAAAAATAAAAATCCTCAAATGAATACAGTAACATAATATTTTTAATTAAATATAATGCATGTGCTTACTGCACATTATTTTGCGTTTAATGAGTCCTATGTATTATAGAAATAAAAAAAAAACATACCAATGCCAACACCAATTTCAAGAATTCTAATGGCATTTTCTTTTTGCAATTCAGGATCATGTGACTTGATTTTTGTAATTGGTACAAATAACTCTTTCTTGACATCTTCATAGGGACCATACTTCATCTTGATTGCCTGACTATTTAGCCATGCAAAATATCTGAAAGAAGTCTCAGTCTTATACAGTATATCAAGTTAGTAGGAACACAAAAATATACTTTAGAGCTTGTGAGAAGCTAATTCTTTTACTATTCTTCTGCTACAGAATGAAAGGGAATTATCAGGAGAAAGTGCCAAGCCATCACAACTACTGTATATAGCACTTGGAAGGGACCAGGACAAGGACTTGGAATGGAAAGTGGGGGAAGGAATGGTGCCCAACGACTTGGACGGTCGGGAATTGAGTGCCAACCTGCATGAGGCGAGATCGTTGCTCTACCGTCCAGCCCAAGTGGTTAGGTTAGGCTGCTACAGAAATCTAAACAATTCAGAAATATCATGCTACCATAATTAATGTTTTCAAGTCCAGAACGGGGACCTAAACTTTCAAATGTGAATGGGGTGGGCAAATCCATACTGATGGAGAGAACTATTTCAAAGTTTGGAATGTATACCAAAACTCTGAACTGTGGGGAAAAATACTTGTGGATTATATTTTTGTTTAAATATTTGTCTATAGATGTTATTTCTGGGCTGGCACACTTTAATATCTACCCCTTTGCTTGCATCAATGGTCTACACAGGACCTATCTCTGTACACTGATGATTTCCAAGATGAACTGCATAACCATAGGAACTCTCAACCTTCCTTCAAGATATTTTTAAAAAATAAAGTTGCCAAACAACTCTTTGAAGTACATAATTCTTACCAATCCTAATACTCCGATCACCACAAGGTCGTGGCCGAGCCACCCAAAGGTTGTGAGGAAGAAGCACCCACACACATTTCCCTGGCATGCATCTGAATAGATATACGAGCTTCTGGCTGACTCTCATCTGCTACATAAATCAAAATTGACAACCTATTCTTAGACACGGTGTCCCTTGCCTTGAAATGTTCATCCCTAACATTTCAAGGCAAGTATGCAAACTACTATACTGTATTAAGAATGTCTTTTGCTCATCTGTTTAAGATTTGTCTCAAGGTTCCCCATGTCAGTTGCCTTCAATAAAGACCAATTACAAGAGATACCTCTTCTGAGGTTTTCCTCCCTAGAAAGGCATTCTTTCAAGGTGGACCTGTGCTGGATGAGACTCTGGAGCTGGAATGATGCAATCAGTGTGTGATTGTTGTGTGTTGTTTTGTCTCTAGCTCATTCAGTGGATAGAGATATGCCCCATTTTTCTGTGGCAAGTGTGAGTCACGTCATTTCCTTCGTTTTTTTTTGTGAATACCTAGCCTATGGCCTCTCACTGGTGCTAGATGGAATTCAGTGTTTGTAGACCATAAATGTGTACTCATGTTTCTTTGTTTTCTTACCATATTGTTGTCTGACAAAGATCTATCAGTTTTTAGAATTAGAGAGGTTGTTTGCTTTGTTTGCTTTGCTAGCATGGTCACAATGAATCTCTTGGCCTGCTCAGATTTCATATCCTGATTCTGCTTCAATTAAGTACTTGAAGCTTCTCATGGTGTTCCCAGTATTTCTGGGAGGGTCTACTCAAAAGCTCCCTACTGAAGTTGCAAAGCTTTAGGAAACTGCACCAGGCATTGAGACCCACCCAAGCCTATGAAGAGCCATGACCAGAATTTGGCTCTCTCTATAAGGCATGGACAAATTGAAAATTGGAAATCAATCCAAAAGCAAGAAAAAACATTAGAAAATATAAAAGCATCAAAACAAGCAACCGTTTGAAAAAATTAGTAACCCTGAGGAAAATAAGGTAAATAATTGTTCATACGGGGTAAATACCTTAGCTGTAATGTAACTGACTATCACCAGATGACAGCCCAGGTCACCCAAGGTCCTTGCCAGCCAGCATCATGAGTAACTCATCTGGTCAAGCCAAGGTCACATGCCTCTGCTGGACCCACATTGAGCTTAATGCTTTCAGATAAGATGTGTTAGCAATCTCTTGAATATTTTGAACAGCATGGGGTTTACTACTTTGACACCTAGGAGAATTTTTATCATATGTAAGTGCTCAGCTGGGAGAGGATGATCTACATTTTCTAGGTTTTTCTCAGCATTGGGGAGGGGGGGTGTTCCTTAAACCTGAGTAACCATTCTTTCACAGCTGTCAATTAAACCTATTTATGCTTTCCTCCCACTCTTAGAACTTAACAACATTGTTCAGGTGCTGCAGAAGTTCTCAAGCTGATCATACTGCATTCTGGGGATGAGGCAGTGTAATTGTATGCAGCTCACTTTCCCTGTTGGCTGGCTGTTTTACAAGTCTTCAAGGAGTCACTTGATCTGGTTGATACCTGGTTGATGGGGTTCTGGGAGTTCTTCTACTCCCCAAGCCCGGCCCGAGGCCAGGCTCGACTTGTGAGAGTTTGGTCCACCAGGCTGTTGCTTGGAGCGGCCTGCAGGCCCACATACCCACCACAGCCCGGTTGGTCCGGCACTCCTTTTGCCGGACCAACTATTGGCCTGTGCCTCATATCTGAAGGTGACAACTGGCTTGTGCTTCACACTTGTGTCTACTGACCTATTACTTACACCTGAGTGTGTGTGTACTGACTTGTGCATCTCACCTGAGTGCCTACAGCCCTATGCCTAACACCCTGTGTCTACTGGCCTGTAATACACACCTGGGAGTGCCTAATGATCTTGTGCCTCACACCTGTTGACCTGTGCCTCATACATGTCAGTGCCTGAGGACCTGTGCTTTATACATGTCAGTGCCTGTTGACCTGCACCTTATACATGTTTATTTTTTATTTATTTATTTATTTATGCATATACAAGAAGGTACATTGGGAATGTGAGGATACATAATATGGTAATTACAGTCTTGTAAAGCCACTAGTACGCGCAGCGTTTCGGGCAGGTCCTTAATCTAAGAAAATTTTAAGTAGGTAAATACTTGCAAAATTTATAGACAAAAAAAATGATAACGGTTACATGGAATGAAAAAAAGAAGATGAGAGAAAATTGTAGGTACAGTATATTAAAGCACATAGGTAGCTAAGATTGATTGCAATGACAGCTTGAATGGTAGTTGACAAAAATTGGTAGTCACAATACAGCATATGGCTTTCACATAAAAGAAGACAGCAATGAACACAATGATAAGGTTGTTTGATACTACATAAAAATTAGGAGATTGGGTAACACTAGGTACAGAGCAAATTTAAAGCTCAGTGTAGGAAACTAAGAAGATGAAATTAGGTACTTTTTGGTTTTGCTTTTAAATAAGGCAAAAGTTTTACAGTTTTTCAATTCACTAGGGAGTGAGTTCCATAGACTAGGTCCCTTAATTTGCATAGAGTGTTTACACAGATTAAGTTTGACCCTGGGGATATCAAAGTGTCAGTGCCTGTTGACCTGTGCTTTATACATGTTAGTGCCTGTTGACCTGTGCCTTACAAGTGAGAATGCCTACTGACCTATGCCTCACATCGGGCCCATACTTGACAACAAGGATGACACACGCCAATCCCCCGAGAACATACGATCGTCTGGTCTTCACGACAGACGTCGCCTTGTTCATCGTCTCGTATATCACCGCTTCTCGGGGTAGAAAATTCATTTTGGACCAGTATCCGACGTGTCCTTCAGCTGGCTTCGTCCATGAGGCACTCAGAGCGACCACTGCATCAGCTGATTACAGCACAACACTGTATCAGCTGATAACAACAACACCTCGCAACCAATCCCCACAGCCCACGTAAATGTAAACCTAATTTTATATATTTGTAGTCATTGTTAGAAATAAATCCTTTATGTATTCATCTAAAAAAATATATATTTGTAGATTCAGTAACATAATTTTAAAATATAGGGAAAAGTGTATAGTCCAAACTCTGGGTTGCTAGGCGACGGATGTAAACAACCCTAGGCTGGGGAAACGACGCTGCTTCACACTGGTGAGACTTAATCACAATGTCTTTTATTTTGTATTGTCTGTTTTCATAAAGTTGCATGGAATAGTCCATTCAAATTTTGCAATGGAATGACTGTTTTTCTGTGTTTACTTAGATGGACAAGGCAGCTTAAGCTGCCTGAAATTGAGTTAAATCTCTAGGTATGCCACCCTCTGTCGGTCCGTCTAATTACCCAAAGCTTCCTAGCATTACGTAAGTAATGACGAACTATGATATATTTGCTCACTATAATGTTGGTGCTGAATGTACAAAATGAAAAAACATATTTTTACTCTGAAATAATATAATTTTATAACGAAATTAGACGAATTTAAGTGGCAGGTGACGCCACAGGAAGTCAACGCTCCACGCAACAATGTAATGGCTTTGAGTAATTAGATGGACCTGATTTCGTTATAAAACTATATTATTTTAGAGTAAAAGAATGTTTTTTCATGTTGTACATTCAGCACCAATATTACAGTGAGTAAATATATCATAGTTCTTCATTACTTACGTAATGCTAGGAAGCTTTAGGTAATTAGACGGCCCCATCTCTGTTGTAAAAACCACAGAACTTCAGGAAATTAGGGATGACAGAAAAGCGGTCGCTAACACTCAAAGGGCTGTAAGCACAAATATAAAGAGTTATATGTTTAGAACCGAGAACTATATATACGGGCGGCATAAAACATCTACTAGACAGTATAGTGTGACATTGTAATTGTTAGATTTAGGTTGGGATATTGAACAGGAGTAGAAATAGCCTAAACTATTCCCTTTGAGATGTATTTTTTCTTGTCTTAATAAACATACTTGAACTTGAATTCAATTCAATTTCTTTCTTTATTATGCACCCCATACCAATCCCGTGGGAGGTGGTGTAAAGGATTACAGAGGCACATAATCGGTTCAGGAACTGAACCCTCTAGTTCGTTTAGCTAAGCAAATAACAATCTTTTGACGCTAGTTACACAATTATTAATGTTATATATACATGTACTCATACTCATGCATACATGTACATATACATATATACATACACATACATATTTAATCACCCACACATCAACAATCTTTTGTGTCACAAGTAATTCAACAAGAGGCACACAACAGTCACTATACAAGGCACTTTACATCTATGATGAGTCACACAGTTACTAGTCTTGCTCCACACCCACCCAACTGGGCGGCAGCTTTACAGTCATGTGCTCCACACCCACCCAACTGGGCGGCAGCTTTACAGTCATGTGCTCCACACCCACCCAACTGGGCGGCAGCTTTACAGTCATGTGCATGCATTACTTACAGTAAGCAAATTTTGGATACTTCGCTAAGATTTCGGGCAGCACATCATTATGAATGAAGTACTTACACATTTCTTGGACACTATTGATGGCGTTACCTTTAAATTCCGCGATTTTTTCACATTCCATTATATAATGACGCAAAGTATGGGAATAGTTCTGCTGACAGAGTTTACATTTAGTCAAATCTACATCGGCAGCTGTTACAAATTCCCAGACGTACTTGTAGCCGAGCCTAAGCCTAGCAGTGGTAACATCTAGAAGTCTGCTAACCTTATTGGATGACCCATAGACGTGCGGTACCTCCTGCATAATAGAATGATGATTGAACTTGGGATATTGATACCTATGACAGGTAGCTGCTGGTAATGTTTTCTCCCCAAATGGAACATTCAATTGTAAACTATATTAACGACAGCTAGGGTACACTCTCCAACACCATATCTGTGTTGTTATCTCCAACACCATATCTGTGTTGTTGTATATATGTGTTGTAATGTGTCGCACTGTTATCAATGATCTCAGACCAAATGGTATGAGGTACTACGAGTTCTGCAACTACTTCAGTACACTCTCACGAATATTAGAAGATATTCTTGTGTCTTATCCAGAGTTTAGTGAAGGCTTGGAGACTAGACTCGTATCTCGTGTTTTCTTCTGATGTATGGCTATAACCATCCGGTGAGATGGAGATGTTAGATGAATTCATAGTTAGCTTTTGATCTATACTTTGTAATCCGTCCCATACAATAGGGTATCTTCTTGAGGTTATCTTGAGATGATTTCGGGGCTTAGTGTCCCCGCAGCCCGGTCCTCGACCAGGCTTCCACCCCAGGAAGCAGCCCGTGACAGCTGACTAATTCCCAGGTACCTATTTACTGCTAGGTAACAGTGGCGTCAGGGTGAAAGAAACTCTGCCCATTGTTTCTCGCCGGCGCCCGGGATCACAGGATCATGAGTCCAGTGTTCTGTCCACTCAGCCACCGGCTCCCTAAGCAGTAGATTATTAAGTTATTATTAGAGTAAGGTAGCAGTAGATTACTGTGCAGACCCGAGACACGGGAAGAATAACAACAATCAGCTGTCAGAACTGCAACTAATTTTGTTTTCATTCAAATCACAATAGCTTCTGGTAGCAGATAATTTTGACTCTCCCCCTACCCTGCCCCCCCGAAGGAATACCACATGGGACACGATGCTTCGCCATGAGCTGGGTACGAACATCACGGCCATCGTCAACAGGCTGGCATCAGAACTCCAAAACACTCCCTTCTACTCAGATTTTCTTGCTGATGTTCAGGTAAGAGAGATGTTCCACGTGTGTTCAACATTCCAGGTTATGACTTTAATGTACTGTTCGTAAACCAAATGCAGAATTTGATTTGATTTGAAGTATAAACAGTTATTATATATTATATAATAACAAATAATAAAAGTAACTGTACTGACATTATGGTTATCACGAAATCAATTTGATCAAACAATTATATTACCAAGTAGTAATTGTTAATAAATTATTCTAATGCTTTACATGTGATAAAATCCTCATAAACTCCTAAAATTGGTTAACCAAGGAAAACAATGCGACAAAAAACTTCTTTACTTAATATAAGCTTTGAAATGAACACTGATGGTGGATAGATGCATTTAGAAAGCTTAGTAACTTAACAATCTATAACAATAAAAGATAACGAATATCTGTTTATCTGTCTGTCTATCTGTTCGAGGTTATAGATACTTGGGGGGATAGCCTCGCCAACCTTGGCAGAATGGTGGTGGGGTTTCAGGAATAGCCATAGAGGGTCGGCCCCGATGACATTAAATAAAAAGTAATATCAATTTCCCCTCTCGTTAACTACCAGAATCCATCTTCACCAAGCATAATGTTCTTTTATATGATTAAATGTTAGTTTGTTTTATGTAGTTTATTTATTGGTGAAGACAATGTGTATTGAAGAGGGTTACAGTGATGAAGGGATAATGGTGAGGAGTAGAGAAGGTGATGAAGGGTAAGGAAGATGGCAAAGGGTAGGGCAAGTGGTGAAGGGTTGGGAAGGTGATGAAGGTGATAGGGAGATGGGAAGAAGGTGGTGAAAGGTAAGGAAGGTGGTGAAGGGTAGGGAAGATGATGAAGGGTAGGGAGATTGTAATGAACCTAATTGTAATACCTCGCCTTGTATCTATCTCGACCGCGCACTCCGCTACTACCACTGAGCTAACCGTGCCATCTCCGCTCTTTCTATGGTAATAACAGATGCTATACCGATCATATAAGATGTTAACACTCGGGCCGTCATACGAAGACGTAAACCAGTACACAGAGGATGCAGAGACAGAGAGAGGAAGAGGGAGGCAGAGCGAGAGGAGAGAGAGGGAGAGGAAGAGGGAGGCAGAGCGAGAGGAGAGAGAGAGGAGAGCGAGAACGAGAGCAAGGGAGGGAGAACGCGAGCGAGTGAGGGCGAGGGAGAGTGAGATACTAGTGAGGGCGAGTGAGACAGAAAGATAGAGATAATCGTAGTCACAACCTATCGTATGAGTTACCGAGTGACGCTGCCACCACCCTGAGTTACCGGACAGGGGACCGGAGTGAGAGTCGTAGGTCTTGCAGATGGAATAACCTACCAGGACAGGTGTAGGGAACAATTGAACGGTACAAGGATCCTGGCCTGACACTCGAATAATCCTGACCACTTGGGAACTATAGTGTACACAAGAATAAGGCGGGACACACCCAATACTAACACCTCAACACGGAAGACGAACGGGGGGGAGGAGTACTGAATAATTAAGAGCACTAGGTCACTAGGGCAAAGGGGACGGTTGGCCCAATATCACTAAAGCAAGGAACCATTAATACACATTGAATAACACTTAATATCTGACTTTATTAGAAATAATTAAATAAGACACTCCCTAACTATATTCCCTACTAGAGGCCAAGGGTACTGAATGAGGTGCTTTAGTACAAGAGAGCCGTACTTACTCGTATGTTGTTCCACAGTTTTCCTGGAGATGATGTTCCTTCCCAGAGTCCACACACACCTCCCTACTGGGCTGTGCCCACTCAACTGACTCCCCTGATCTGCTGCTCCTCAGCTGAACATGAGGGTTCTACCTTTGGTGTTTAGGGGTTAATCCCTGAAGATTTTCATGGCGGCAACAACTCTGACCTCTTTGTGATTCGATGACCGTTGACCTGACTCTATGGCTAACTTGTACAGAGGTGTAACTTTTACATTGTCTGCCGCCGCCTGACTGGCGCCTGTGGGTTGTTCATCCTCCACGTGGCCTGTTCATGCTGTTATGATGTTCATGTACTATGTACTGCTCTCTTGTTACAAGATGGGAAGGAAAGGGAAGTATCAGGAGAAAGGGCCAAACCATTACGACTATATAGCACTTGGAAGGGGGAGGTCAGGATAAGGATTTGGGAAGGGACGGGGGGGGGCCCAACCACTTGAACGAGGAAGGAATGGTGCCCAACCACTTGAACGATCGGGGATCAAACGCCGACCTGCATGAAGCGAGATTGTCGCTCTACCGTCCAGCCCAAGTAGTTGGGCGGGGTAGGGAGATGTGTAGTGAAATCACTACACATCACTTCATCATCAGTTGGTGAAGCAATAAAACCTATAGTTTCCTAGGCCTAGTATAGCATATATGTATTAATTTAGGTTTGAGATGGCGTATATTTGGCTTAGGATTGCATATTTAGGCCTAGGACAAAGTTAAGTTAGGTTGTATAATTACTATATTCCAATAATATACATCTTTTTTGGATACAATAGTCCATTTTTGTTACGTTCGATCAATTGTTGCCATAAGTACTATAATTTCTGGATAATTGGTTGAAATATTGACGCTATTTATAAAAGACGATTATTAAATATCTGAACGTTTAACTTCTTGAGTATATAAATATATGTTCTTGTAGACATGTTTCTCCGTTCTACAGACGACGATGGCAACGCAGAACTTTAGCACAGAACGATTTGGCAGCGAGTGTTATGAGTGGGCCCAGGGCAGCTCTCTGGACACCCGGCTCCGCAACGCCCTCTACCACCTGATGCACGTCCAGCCCACCCTCCTGGCCAACCCGGACACCCCCAGGCACGTCCTCAAGGAACCTCTCGCCTACGTTAGGAAGGCTCAGGTACGGCCATCATCCCCGTGTTTATATTGAGCATGAGAGTGTTTTGGATGTTTTAAATGTGTCTGTAGCGAAGTTGTTAGCGCAGTCAGCTCATAACCAATTGGTCTTGGGTTCAGTACCTTGGGAGAACGAGGACATTGGACACGTTTTCCTTACATTCGTTGTCTGTTCGTCTAGCATGTTGTCGGTGTTCAGCAAGAGCAAGAGCCTTTTGAATGGCTAGCATCTCTGTTTGTAAAGCTGAACACCCATTTGAGAGTCTCCAACTATTTTCAGAGTTTCCTGCCTTAACTGCAGCCCCGATTTCTTGTCCCCTGCTGGTCTACTGATCAATCTGTGAAGTATGTGAAGCTGCCAGATGCCAAGTTTGCTTCTCTATGCATCTGTGCGATATTATGTAGCAGATGAGGATTAGTCTGATTCGTTTTTCCTTCAAGACCCTTAATCTTAGTCTGATGGCAGAGCCTTGTATAGTGACTGTTGTGAACCTCTTGTTGAATCACTTGTGATATAAAAAGATTATTGATGTGTATTTGTGTATATGGATGTATATATATGTACATGTGTATGTAACATAAACAGTTGTGTAACTAGCTTCAAACGAGTGTCACTTGCTTAGCTAAACGAACTATGGGGTTCAGTTCCTGAACCCATTATGTGCCTCTGTAACTCTTTCCATCACCGCCCACGGGATGGGTATGGGGTGCATAATAATGAAACAAATTGAAATTGTTACGGCTATGTGAATAGAAGCATCAGGTGAAAAGAAACGCGCCCAAACATCTCTATCCTCCACCGGTAATCGAACCCGGGACCATTGGGTTGTGACCCAGCTGTTCTGAACAATGCACACTGGTTTTCTTATGTTATCCCAGAGTTCGTGGGAGCGACGGCTGGTGAAGTGTGTCAACAGCATGGCGGCCGAGCTGGGCGTTCCTCTGGCCAGGCGACGGACCAAGCAGGAGAGGGAGGACTTCGCTGACCACTGGGCCGACCTCTCCACCGACGAGTCCGGTTAGCTGCTAGCAGGGAGCTGGGAGAGGCAGAGGGAGGAGGGATGTATATGGGGAGGGAGGAGTGGAAGGGAAGCAGTAATCGTGCACCTTCATAACTACTTCCTTAGTTTTCTGACAATCTTTACTCTCAGTAGGAGACAACAAAGTATAGATTGGTTGCACCTTTCTAGTTAATGCATGGATAACGAGTATTATGCGAACCTCGAGTGACCGTCCCCAATTTTTTGTATTTTTTCTCGAATGATTAAAATAATTCTTTTGGTTATCATTCATTAACATTTGCGACAAATCTCAGGTATGTGACTCACTCACGGAAGAAGATCCTGCCATGACTTTAACTAGCGTGATGGCGTTCACATAACGCATTGTATTATGCTTATTTTGGTCTCCACTGCTATATAACACATTGGATTAAGCTTAGTTTGGTCCCCGACTGCCAGAACATACTCTCTGTTAACCTACACATATGAAATGAGACCAAAGTGACGTTTCGATCCATCTTGGACACTTTATCAACTTGATAAATGTTCCACATGGACCGAAGCATCGTCACTTTCATTTCGTATATATGAATTTGGTAATTTATTTCATCCACTTTATAGTAACAGTCTCTGTACACCCACTGTCTATTACCAATAGCTATTTGAAACGCATGCTTCCTCCTTTGTTTCTCATATAATTAACTGCAAACTAAAATGTAAAATAGGGAACAGGAAATGCAAATAACACCATCCAATGTCTCTGTGTTTACCTCGAGGAGACCTGTCGATGATCCGGCCGGTCTACGCCCCAAAAGACTTCCTGGAGGTCCTCGCCACTCTCACCAACCCAAACTATGATGAGACCATGTAAGTCACCCTCCAGGACCAAGTCACGTAAGTCAAGACAGCAGGAGACACTTAAGCGTTTGATTTATCAAACATTTAAGTGTCCACTTGCAAAATAGGTTCATCTCTCGTCAATCATGACGGCTTTGTTTACATTTATGAGCTCCGAAGCGCTGGGAGGCTGTTTATAGCCATACTAACCTTGGGTTGCGAAGTTGTCTAGCTCGTAAAATGTTTAATAACTACAGACGTAATCGCCATGATCCAGAACAGATGTACAGGTGTCGTAAGTGGACACATAAATACTTGTTGAATCCTGACCCAGGCCATTAAATTCCTAATCAGTAACCAAAACGTGTATGTAACATTTAGGAACGAGGCTATTTAAGTAAAACACATGATTAAGACCATGTAAGTAAATCACGTGATCAAAGTCATTTAAGTAAAACACATGATCAGGGTCACATAAGTAAAACACATAATCAAGGTCACGTTAGTAAATCACGTGATCAAGGTCAGGTAAGGAACACTCATGTTTGAGGCTGCTAACAGGATAGACACAGAATCAATTAATTACTTATATACAGTATATCTATATGCTATATATATTTTTATATATTCTAAAAGTAACAGAGGATAATTCACTATATATATTCTTCACTTTAGGCTCTTGCTTTTTTTTTTTAATTAAAAGCAAATTTCGTATTTGAAGCCAACAGATGGCTTGATCACTGGCAGAGCTTGTTACAACCTTGTTACACCATACCTTGTGGTTACCTTGTGATTACCTTGCGGTTACCTTGTGGTTACCTTGCGGTTACCTTGTGGTTACCTTGTGGTTACCTTGTGGTTACATTGTGGTTACATTGCGGTTACCTTGTGGTTACATTGCGGTTACCTTGCAGTTACATTGAGGTTACCGTGTGATTACCTTGCGGTTACCTTGTGGTTACCTTGCGGTTACCTTGTGGTTACCTTGCGATAATTTCGGGCTTAGTGTCTCCGCGGCCCGGTCCTCAACCAGGCCTCCTCGTTGCTGGACTGGTCAACCAGGCTGTTGGACGCGGCTGCTCACAGCCTGACGTATGAGTCACCGCCTGGTTGATCAGGTATCCTTTGGAGGTGCTTATCCAGTTCTCTCTTGAATACTGTGAGGAGTCGGTCAGTTATGCCCCTTATGTGTAGTGGAAGCGTGTTGAACAGTCTCGGGCTTCTGATGTTGATTCAATCCACCATATCTTGAGGTTATCTTGAGATGATTTCGGTGCTTAGCAACCCTGCGGCCCGGTCCTCGACCAGGCTTCCTTTTTTTCTCGAGGCTTCCTGGACCAGGCAATTATATATATTAATTTCAACCAATCGCAGGGCTTTATATAAATAACTGAAAATAATGGTGTGTATAAAGTAGTTGAACAGATATTTCTGGTCAAAATCGTGCCTTTCACCACACACAGACCCATGTATTTAATGGTGTTTTTGATCACATATTGTGTTGTTCCGCTATGAATTCTTCCAGTGTGGTAAATCCGCTTCTGACAGCCTATTTTCATGGCTTGGATTTAAAACATAAACTAAATTCTCGTTCATTCAGTGGATATGCAATTCCAGTTCATATTGTCTATTTTACTTTCGCAATTTTTACAGCCTATAGACTTCTGACATAACACGTGGTGTAGTGGATAAGACGCTCCCCGTGGCGTTTCACGAGCGCTTTGTCCTGGGTTCGTATCCTGGATGATTTACTGGGCGCAAATCCTTAACTGTAGCCTCTGTTTAACTCATCAGTAAAATGGGTACTTGGATTTTTAAACGATTTTTCGCGGGGTCGTATTCCAGGGAACATAGGATTAAGGACTTGCCCGAAACTCTACGCGTACTAGTGGCCGTACAAGAATGTAAGAACTCTTGTATATATACCTAAATTAAAAAAAAAAAAAAATAAAAAAAACACCATCAGTGACTTTGGAATAATCATGTTCTTTTTCCGATGCCTTGGTTTGTTGGCAAATTATACATCACTCGTGGGGGTCACATGTAAAGCTGCATCTTTCATGAGATCACGTATAAAACTTTATCATTCGCGAGGTCATACGTAAAACCGCATCATTCGTTAGGTCATATGATACAGTGCCCTTGGGAATGTAGAGACTATGTTAACTAAATTTAGACACAGCTGCTTCTTTCCGAGTAATAATACGTAAAAAACAACAATTTTGATTTTCTGCAGTCTCCAAAAAAGACACATCACTCAGGTTTGTCATGATCTGAGCCAAGACACATCATGGTATTGGTTATATTTATAAAACAATTCATAATGCTGGCAAATGACCTTCATTATAATCAAATATATATTATTAAGGCTATAGTTTGCTTTCAAAACATATTAGAAGTTTTAATGCATTTAATTCATTCTTTCACCAATAGAGAGGAAAACCTTTGGGGGTGTATCCAGCTGCCTCTCAAAGTCAACGACATCAAAGGCTTGGTGAGTCAGAGAACTTAGAAAGTCAGGGAGCTTGGTGTGTGTGGTAGATTTGTGAGAGATTGAGGTGAATAAGGGACTTTTTGTCACCAAGGGCGCGGTGGGGCAGGGGACTTGGTAAGTGAGGGTAGGAGTGTGGAACCTGTGGCCTTCTGGGCATTATAAGTGCAGCCAACTTACAGAAGTCCAAATTTTGCACAGAAATACGTTTTTCTTAAAAATATAGTTTTATAACTCCTTGTATATTATTTTTCATTTTTGCTTTTATCACTATTTATAAAAATAGCATACAAAACAAAAAGTACTCTTCGATTTAGAAAATATTTATATTTCTCTTCTCCTTTTGCTATAATACTTTAAAATTCGTAAGTATTTCTAAGGTTTTAATTATAAGCCACTAATATAAAACCATCTTCTACAGCATATTGCTGTCCTACTCCGAGTGATGCGGTCATATGAAATCTTTGCCAAGTATGCCCTTCGTAGGGGAGCCTCACGGCTGAGTGGTCAGCGCTCGGAATTCGTAGTCCTAAGGTTCCGGGTTCGATCCCCGGCGGAGGCAGAAACAAATGTGCAGTTTCTTTCACCCTGATGCCCCTGTTCACCTAGCAGTAAATAGGAACCTGGGAGTTAGATAGCTGCTACGGGCTTCTTCCTGGGGGTAACAAAAAGGAGTCCTGGTCGCGGAGACGCTAAGCCCCGAAATCATCTCAAGATTACCTTCGTACGATAAAAGGTCCCCCCCCCATCCCTGATGCGGCCTTATGAAATCTTCGCTAAGTATACCCTTCGTATGACAAAAGGTTCCCCACCCCTGAAGTAAGGGCTTTGTGAATCATGGTCCAAAATCCATAGATCACATACACGGAACAAAAAAGAGGAAGTGTTCCAAGAAACAATTTAGACAAGTTCCTGCAAGAAGTGTCAATGACGTGTCGCTCTTGGCCTGCCCCGTCGACAGATCCTCAGGCGTATGATGGAGTCTAGTCAACGGCTAGACTGCATCATTCACCTACGCTACTTGCATTGCTCTGGTCAATAACCAGTAACCAAAAAGAGGATCTATGCACGGTTGACCAGAATCTGTGGTCAATCCCCCATCCCTCTAATCCCATTTGCAACAACAGCCTGCATGCCGTTGCTCGCCTTCTTGCCGAAAATATTCAGATTTAATTCTTTGTTTTTCTTTTATTCATTAGATGGCGTGATTGGTTCTGCTAGTTACTGATACTTACTGTTTGAATTATAAGATTACCGGGGAGCTGGTGTGAGAGTGATGTCTGTGGTGTAGATGGTATATTCTACGGGGGGCAGATGTGACTGTTACAGTGGCATTGGCGATTTAGGTGATAGTGTACAGGTGTACAGGTGCTAATGTAAGCACCTGTACACCAACAAGACAGTGTAGAGGCTAAGAGAGCGGTGTTGGTGGTGCAGGTGGAGGTGTACGGGGAGCTGGCGTGCTGTTGTAAACACACTGGACTGGACGAAGCTGTTGCTGGAGAATACAAGCCTAACCTGTCGCTGGCAGCAGAGAGACTCATTATAGGACAGAAAGGTGGGCGTCTGCAGCTTAATCTTCTTTTCATTGACCATTTAACAATCAAAAGTATCACATAAAATCTTATACAGTACTCTTAAAAGTAAATTAGTTGTATTTTGACTGGTAATTAGTTTCTGGTGAGTTTAGGTTTGTGTGTTATTCTTACCACTTAAAGACAAATATTCTTAGATTTTCCATTGTATAGCTGATTAATATTATCAATGAAATAAGTAAACTTGAGCTACATGATACAGTAACTTGAAATGTTTTAAACTTTTTAAAAAATAAACAATATAAATAAAATAAAAATCTCTATCAGTAATATTTCTACAATTAAATTTCTTAATTTTTAATAAAAAAAATATAATTTAATTTCCTATTTTTATAATTTCAATTTTGTTAAGTTTCCTATTTTTAGAATTTAAATTTTAATAATAAAAATACTCTTAAGAATGTTAAATTTTAAGCAGATTTTTTTCGAATTGGAGTTGGTTAACTACGTGATACACTGCACCACAGTATATGACATGACAGTCTGATGAGTTCCTGTGAGTGTACATGTGTGTATTTATGTCTACCTCTGTGTGTGTATGTGTATGTGGGTTCCTGTATATATTTGTATGTGTGTGTGTGTATGTATGTTCACCTATTTCTGCTTGCAGGATCGAGCTTTAGCTCTTGGACCCATCCTTTCTAACCTAAATATATCTCTATTATTTCAATTATTTTCATGTCATCTGCATCCAATGTCATTATACTTTTCACTGAAGCTATAGTCTTTGTTCTTCACTCTTCCTATTTCACTTATCTTTATTCCTTAATGCCAGTACTGTTATTATTCTTTTTCCATTCTAATAGCTGGCTATTAGAATGGAATAACTCCCAGTGAATTATCCTTTGTGTGTTCATATCCATAATTACCTGCCCCCTCTCTTTTGTATGATGTTCATATTAGGTCATTCTTTTCCCTCGTCACTCTAAAGGGTTAGGGATACCTGAGAGCGTGGAACAGTTTAATACAGGTATATATATATATATATATATATATATATATATATATATATATATATATATATATATATATATATATATATATATATATATATATATATATATATATATATATATATATATATATATATATATATATATATATATATATATATATATATATATATATATATATATATATATATATATATAGATATAGATATATATAGAGAGAGATATATATAGAAATATATAGATATATAGAGAGAGAGATATAGAGAGATAGGGGGAGAGAGAGATAGAGAGAGAGGGGGGATATACAGAGAGAGAGAGATATAGAGATACAAATATAGAGAGAGAGAGAGAGAGAGAGAGAGAGATAGAGAGATATATATAGATATAGATAGAGAGAGAGAGAGAGAGAGGGAGAGGGAGGGAGAGGGAGAGAGAGAGAGAGAGATGTATGGACTCTTACACAGTTGTGTATGGACTCTTGTGTATTCGTGTGTACATTTCAGTGGTGGAGAGGAACCACGGTCCACTGAGCCGGGAGCTGTGCAAGACTGGGTGTCCGCCGAGCCTCCGTGGCATCCTGTGGCACCAGGTGCTGGGCCTGGAGATCACAGACAAGGTCAGTCTCTCATGTCGTTGTTGTTATAGATTCAGCTACTCGGAACAAGTTCCAAGTATCACGTGCTATGGTGAGCCCGTAGTGGACTTACCTGGCACAGGAGCGGTGAGTCAGTCTCTCAGAGCATCGCTCTCTGTACCCAGCACGTCAGGTGTTTAGTCTCCCCTGCAGCCCCCCGTCATGTCATTTTTTGCTGGTGTTATGACATTACAGTGTACCCTATTTCCGTTAATTATCATTAAGAAGGTGCTATCATAATTGGCAACATTTATTTCGGAGAATATGATAGATAGCAGTCCGTCCTCCTACTGTTTTCCAACGTCACGAAACTGTCGTACAAAAGTGCCCCTTATTCTAACCTACCAGAGGACCCAAAACAAAAAACGGGACAGTATGTCAATTTCGCGAGCCGCTTCCATTTTCTAGTACGACGATTTTTGACCTTAGGTAGAGTATACGTCAAAATGCGACGCTCTTTTAGGTGGACGGGTTGGGTTGATATACAACAGCCTATCCTTTTGTTCGGATGTAAGGCGCGTTTATAGCACGGACACCTACGGTTCCAACACCTGGTTTTATATGTAGGGATAGACAGTGTGAGATGCATGGGTAGTGTTTGGGGGACAAAGAATAAGGAATGTAAATGTCACAGAAAATGTTGCGTATAAAAGTTTGTAAATCATGAGATTGAAGATAGTTTACCGAGATGCTTTGGCCATATTGAACGAATGGATAATAGTGAGTGAATAAGGTAAAGAGAAGTCTTCTTGAGAAGGTGTATTTTCTTGTTATTAAAACCACTATATAGTATTATTATTGTGTTTGTATCGCTATAATTCTTATTACTATAATTTTGACACATTATGAAAAGCTACTATAATTTTGACACATTATGAAAAGCAGCGGTACCCCCTTCCCCCCAAGGCCTTAATGGTACACTGTACCAAACCATCTCGGTGACCCACGAATTATGATTGGTAAAACAATAAGCCTAAATGCTGCGCTATACAGCTATATTAACTTTACACTTCAAATTGAAAGCTACTCGGTTTAAATGTCTCGGCAGCTTTTTATGTAATGTATATCATCTATTTTTTTTTATAATTAGAGCTCGGGTAGGTACGTGTGCCTGTTAGGTGTGTGTGTTGAAGGGGAGAGAGAGACCCGGGGACCGCCGGATACCCCATAGTACAATATATAAGTCAATCTGTCACTAATATCCCCCATATACAAGTTGATCTGTACGTCTAGATGTAATAATCCCACATATATGACAGTGTCAGAAATAGCCTCATGTTTAGACAACATGGCAGTAATATCCACATATATAGAACAATCTTCAAAACATGTGATTTAATATTGTCTTTAGCACTACAAGTACTTCGAGGAGCTGGTGCAGACGGTCCTGCAACACGAGCTGCTGGTGGATAAACTTATTATGAAGGTAAGATGGCTCCTCCACACACTGTATGTCTCTTCCACATTGTGTCGCTCCTCTACAGTATGTCTCTCCTTTACACACACACACTCTCTCCACTCAGTTTGCTCAACATTCTTCTTCACATTCCGTTTGGCACCTTCCTCCTCAGTTTGCCAACTCCACAATATGTTCCATTAAATATCGGATCCAAATGTAATTCTCCAGCCACTAAATCTTCACGTGTTGCTGTATTCTTGAGCGTGATGAGCGTATCCTTGATGAATGATTGTTGATGTAACCTTGATGAATGATGAGTGTTGCTGTATCCTTGAGCGTGATGTTTACCATGATGACAGCAGAGCACCATACTCCAGCTTTAAAAATTATGGTGTTGATTTATGGGACAACTTAGCGGATTGACAACATTAGACATTTGGGTCTCTGGATTGTTCCAAGCGAAGTGTAGACGTATATATGGATCTATTTGGTCGGGTATAAGTACAAAATGGCCTCACATGAGTCAGTGTACCTTCACTTTGATCTCACGTTACTATGTACTAATTAATTCCTCTTGCAGGACATCCAGCTGACAGCTTCTAATGACGACCAGTACTTTGTGTTTGAAGACATATTATTTCAGGTAAGAGAATAAGTCACAATAACGTTGTGGAACGAAAGAGACGACGTTGCAGTCCGTCCTGACTTGATAAAGTCCAGGACAAACTGAAACGTCGTCGGTTTCATTTCTTTTGCATGTGTGGGGGGTTGGGTTATATACAAATACTAAGCTGACATATGGAGTTTCTTTGGTTTCTGTCCCCAATATTGCCCGTCTGATGACTTAAGCTTCAGAAACCTGTAGTCATCTCTCATACCAGGTACGCCTGAGGGCCACAGTTCTAACAACACTACAAACCAGACATGAAAGGGCTGATTTCATCGAGACATTTAAAATACTTAACAGGGTTGTGGATATTAAGCCAGACCATTTCTTTGAAACATCAAATGTAATTATATAGAACCTTCAGGCTCAACAAGCCACAATGTAGGACAAGGCAAAGGAGGTACTTTTTTTTATACCCACAAGGCTATAAGCCGATGGAATAGCCTATCGGGTGAAGCCGTAAATGTCAAGACATTACTTCAGTTCAAAATCCAGATGGAAAAATACTGAAGGACCTTTGGCAATTTGTCGGCTTCCTGTCCCCGTGAAGGCCACTAGGGAGATGGTGGACTTCAGATAAATTCGCATTTTCAACTTTTCATGATGTACTCTTATCCTATTTTCTTTTAATTGAAAATTGAAAGGGGCTCTCAATGTCCACCTTGTCATCCCCCCTTTTATGTTGTGATCATATTCGTTCTGGATTGTCTATATTCTAAAGGTGTAAAATTTAGTAAAACCTCTGAACTTTTCAAGTTCAATTTTGTGCATGATTAGAAGTGTACACGATGCCGGCTGTGCGTATCCTAATATTGGTCTTGACGTTGGTAAAGTTTATTGCTTCGATCGATCCCATACTAATGTATGACTTAAGTTTTTAAACATTTCTCATGTTTATCAACCTTCCACATGCTGCCAATATTATCCTAGTTGTGTATGCTTCCGGTGTTAGTTCTGAAATTAAATTAATTTCCAAATCTATTTTTTATTCGTATAGTTGCCATCCAACTATGACAGATTCCTTCGGGTCTCTTGTCTCATTTTTCTATTTCCATTGCCTTGCACTTACTGGGGTTGAACTCCTGCAGCCATTTATCTTCCTACTCCTGTAGTGTTTCAAGTTTTCTTGAAACATTCAACAGTCTTCCTCAGTTTTACTGTTTTTATAAACTTCTCTTCCAATATAAATCTTGACGTGTGAGGATTCACCCTTCCGGTAGGTCACGGACGAAGGTTATATAGGAACAGCAGTGAAATATGACGTTTCATTAGAGATCCAAATTGCTATAACATTTCAGCCTTTCGTCACCTCTCAGACTGACCCTTGTTTGCTGTCTGTCAGGTACTCCATTATCCAGTTCAGTGTCTTGTCAGTTTTCTTAGCTCGCTTCTCAATCTCATATGCCAACATTTTGTGAGGGAGAGAATTATGAGGGGAAAGCGCCAAGCCATTACGACTATATATAGCACTTGGAAGGGGTCAGGATAAGGATTTGGGATGGGACGGGAGGAGAGGAATGGTGTCCAACCACTTGAGGACGGTCGGGGATTGAACGGCGACTTGCATGAAGCGAGACCGTCGCTCCACCGTCTAGCCCAAATGGTTGGACACATTTTGTGAGGAACAACATCAAATGCTTTGATGCTGCTTGAGAACAACCAACTTTCAGAACGCTTCGTAATAGACGAAAACTCTTGGGTTTGATGGTTTCTCCTATGCATAATGCTTGCCATGTATATCCTACTTGCTACAGTTACTACTATTTATAAGCTTAAGCATATAAGCTTCGGCTTAAACATATACGGTACGGCTTAAGCATATACACTACAGGTGTTATTGTATATTCGTTGCAGGTGTTGTTGTGTTTCTTCAGAGACACAGAAGTGTTGAGCCACTTCGAGCACAGCAGCGCCTCGCCTCCCCTGGCGGCGGCCCGGGGAAACACTCCCTCGCCGGATACTCTGGTAGCCTACCCGCCCTGTGGGGTAATACCCTTCCATGGGTTTACTATGTACGGTGAGTCTACCACTGTACATGTACTGCGAGTCTACCAGGCGCTCCACTTACCGTGAGTCCACCACACTCGCCATGTAACGTGAATCTACCACACCGACCACGTACAGTGAACCCATCACACTCACCACGTACAGTGAATCTACCGCACCGACCACGTACAGTGAATCTACCACACCGACCACGTACAGTGAACCCATCACACTCACCACGTACAGTGAATCTACCACACCGACCACGTACAGTGAACTCATCACACTCACCACGTACAGTGAATCTACCACACCGACCACGTGCAGTGAACTCATCACACTCACCACGTACAGTGAACCCGTCACACTTACCACGTACAGTGAATCTACCACACCGACCACGTACAGTGAACTCATCACACTCACCACGTACAGTGAACCCGTCACACTTACCACGTACAGTGAATCTACCACACCGACCACGTACAGTGAACCCATCACACTCACCACGTACAGTGAATCTACCACACCGACCACGTACAGTGAATCTATCACACCGACCACGTACAGTGAATCTACCACACCGACCACGTACAGTGAACCCATCACACTCACCACGTACAGTGAATCTACCACACCGACCACGTACAGTGAACTCATCACACTCACCACGTACAGTGAACCCGTCACACTTACCACGTACAGTGAATCTACCACACCGACCACGTACAGTGAACCCATCACACTCACCACGTACAGTGAAACAGTGAATCTACCACACCGACCACGTTGAGTCTATCGTACTCCCAGTAACTCCCAGTAAAACAATCTAAAACACTCACCTTACAATAAACAGAAGCTGTTTATCTAAACAATTTAAAAAAAAATACAGCTTCCTCTCACTATTATTTTAATTAACCGTTAATTTAACCCTCCTGTTAATTTAAATATCAATTTAATTATTGAGAAAATTAAATTAATATTGGTATTATTTAGAAATATTTCTAATGTTACTTTTTTAATATTAACAAATATTTACCAAAATATTTTTTTTGTTTTTTTTTTGTTTCCAATGGATTGAACAGATTCTTATTTTGTAATATGTTTTTGCCTGTTGGTGTGTACGTTAGTATTATTGGTGTGCACGGAATTAGTGTTATCTCAGAGTATTTTTTGATTGTAGTGTGTCACTGGAATTTGTAGTGTTATCAGATCAGAGTGTTTTCAGAGCATTGATTGTAGTGTGTCTCTGAGCATTATATTATAGTGTGTCTCAGATCATTATATTGGAGTGTGTCTCAGAGCATTATATTGTAGTGTGTCTCAGAGCATTATATTGGAGTGTGTCTCAGAGCATTATATTGTAGTGTGTCTCAGAGCATTATATTGTAGTGTGTCTCAGAGCATTATATTGGAGTGTGTTCGAGAGAGATTTATAACATAGGGTATCTAAGAGAGAGGTTTCGGTGTCGTTGTGCAGCTGCCCCTCTGAGCTGCCTGTACGAGGACCCTGTACACCTGTACTTCACCTTCAGGGAGATGTACTGCCGCTACTGGTACCGCCTCCACATTGTCACCAGCCACCCCCAGGTCAGTCCTGGTGGTTCAGCACCACCCTCCTGGTTCTATAACAACTCTTCAGGGGTTCTTCTTCCTGGTTCTCTGGTCAGGTCAGATTTTGCTCTATATGCAACCCGTTCTCGCAAATTCGTAAAGTCAATATTGACTTATTAACTACGAGCATAGGTGATATACTAAACATAATAGATACCCTTAAAAAGATTCATAGAAAACACCGACCTTACCTAACCTTGTTAGTATCTTAAGATAAGCATCTTATTGCTTCGTAATTACAATTATTACTTAACCTATACCTATTATAGGTTAGGTAATAATTGTAATTACGAAGCAATAAGATGCTTATCTTAACATACTAAGTAGGTTAGGTAAGGTCGGTGTTTTCTACGAATCTTTTTAAGGGTATCTATTATGTTAAGTATGTCACCTATGCACATATTTAATAAGTCAATATTGACTTATTAAATTTGCGAGAACGGGTTGCTATATAATAGCATCCACAAGTCACACATTGTTCTATAGCTGTATTTTGACTGGGATTCTTCTGCTAGTGTGTTATAAGACTTATTAGCATGCACGACAGTATTCATTGAGGCGGTACAAATTTCCGATGATTATTTAGTTCGTTCATTATGTATTTATGAGGCAATGAGTGAAGGATATCATGAAATGATAGATTTATATTATTCTTAACCCTTAGACTGCTGGAACGCTTATAAGCGTTTTATGGTAGACATACATTGCTAACCACACTTATAAGAAAGTTGTATTCTGGTTTTAGGTGAGTATACACTGAGTTTACTTTAGTTTTGAACTACTGGATGTTTAGTAAGCAATAGTCAGTAAACTCCTGTGGTGGCTTTAATTACGTTCCCGTGCTTAATACGCCTTAAATCGCGTAGCAAAGACGAGGAAAAATTAAGTTGAGTTTATGATTTCTTGCAACAAAGACGAGCAGACGTCTGTAACAATAATAACCCCCAATAAGAATGTATAAGGAGAGGCTCTCCTGTTCAGTTGATTGGTTCAAAGTGTTATTTAATTCTGTATTTAAGAGTTAATGCGTGTTAGATATTTTGTTTCTGACGCTGAGGAGTGATGCTTTCTCTTCATGGTGCAGGGAGCGGCAGCTTTGGCGCTCCAGTTTGAGTTGCTGTTGCAGAGTTGTGAGACGCGCCTCTGGCAACACTGCGCCGCGATGACCATACAACTGTGAGTCGGTAACACTTTTTGCTGTCCCCTTTCATACACACTCACACCTTCACACTCATATATTCGCACTCACACTGATACCCTCATGTCCAGCTCACACTGACTCAAATATACTCCTCTTATGTGCACCTAAAATATAATGTTCATATGTAACCCTTTCATTCATCTTAATAAAATATCCCAAACGTTACAACCGAGCTTTTGAGAACTTTGTAATCAAGTTGTATTGATACCATTATCTGATTTCCTAAAGCGTTAAGAGTTGTCATTGTACTACTAAGTTAGATGACAAGTTAACGATCACAAATCATCATGGTACGACTTTGAAGGTTTTGAAAGAGCAAAATTTAAAGCCAAATAAATAAATAAATCAGACACGATTACAACCATTACCAACAGCCAAGAACGCCCCAATACTGCAAAATAAAGCAATAAATCATGCACAGGTTACTACCAGCTAAGGACGTCCTAATACAACACAGTTGTATCAATGTAAAATCAATCAATCAAATTCGACGTTACTGCCAGAGACCATTTTAACGAAGCTCTCGTCCTTAGGCTTCCTATAGTGTTCAAGTGGATGGTACGCGGATTTAGCGGGTACCTGATCCCTGACCAGCTGTTCCACTTGTGGGACGTGGTGTTGGCTTGGGAGTCCGTCGAGGTCCTGCCTATCCTCGCCCTCGCCATCGTCAGTTTCCGTCGGGAGAACCTCATGGACGTCACCTCGCAGCAGGCCGCTGAGGTATTGTATCACCCGTCTCAGGAAAAAAAATATTACTAAGTGATGACCAGACCACACACTAGAAAATGAAGGGACAACGACGTTTTGGTCCGTCTTGAACCATTCTCAAGTCGATTGTCGACTTGAGAATGGTCCAGGACGGACCGAAACGTCGTCGTCCCTTCATTTTCTAGTGTGTGGTCTGGTCAACATATTTCAGCCACGTTTCTGTGACTCATCATCTGCATATTACCAAGTGACTTACTTCCCTGAGTCAATCCTCGAGTCAATCACAGCAATGATACGTCACTGGGTGTGCCAAACATTCACGGAGAATTCTTTTAAACATGTGTACTGACTGATTCAGTAATGTATTATAACACTCATCACAGTTTATATCTACACTGTTTCGTCCTTGATAGCTTCAACTTACATTTCAACACCCTAGACAGCTTCAGCTTGCATTATAACACCCTAGGTAGCATCAGCTTGCAGTACCACACTCTAAACATCTGTAATCTTTATTATAACTTTCTCGACAGCCTGTATCGTAAGAAACGCAACAGCTTCAGCTAGCTACATAGCGAGGCTAGACAACTTCAGATTACATTTTAACATCTTTGACAACTTCAACCTGCATTATTCTTTCTTGACAGTGTAGTCTACATTGCTGTTGACAGTTTCAACGCTCTATAACGCTCTTGACAGCTTCAACCTTAATTGTAGTGCCCTTGACAGCTTGAGTCTGCATTGTAACGCTCGTGACAGGTTCAGCTTGAGTAAATAATTTCACTCATGACTCAGTTTTCCATGAATATGGACCTATAACGTTTTTAATTAGGGATACTTCTTACACACATTCTGTGCTCATTTTGCTGTGGAAAATAATATAGTTCATTTAAATAGGAGAACTGTTTAAATCATGTATAACGACAGTGGCATATTTTAATTACCAATAACGCGCAGTAAGTAAACAAACTGAATAATGATAATAATTTAATATTCTTTTTTAGTTATACATAATTAGTGTTAACGTTTGATAAATTGATTTAACATTAATCCAAAGAAAGATTAGCATAGGCTATTTCTTTCTTTGTTGATCTCTTTTCTTGATTTTCTTTCATGATCTCAAAATGATAGATTAGCATAGGCTATTTCTTTCTATAATTTTGAGAGGTATCTTATTGTCTCAATAAACATACTTGAACTTGAACATTAATCCAAAATGATATTTTTAGATATATTTGATAATTATATATATCTGGTCTGCGATAATAATCAAGTAATATGTGTGATATTGGTTGTAAATAAGACCTCAGACATGTTCCAGGATTCACAAAACATTTACGCGTTCAATTACAACATCTGTACGACTTCCCTCGAGTATGACGGCTTTGTTGGTATTTACTAATCTAAGTTAACGAACTCTATAGTGTAACAAGATCGTCCATAACAGCCTTCAGTTATGGATGACCTTGGAGCTTGTAAAAAAGAGTTTAGAAACACCGACAAAGCCACAGTGATCTAGATAAAGAGTTACAGCTCTCTCAAATGCACACCTAAATGCATCGTAAATCCTTGTACTGACTGGCCATATCTCCCCTTGTGCAGGCGGTGCTGGCGGATATTACTGCCATTCGGGTCATTCCTCTCCTCAAGCTCGCCCTCGCCGCCGACAGGGGCCGGGAAAGAGATCCATGATGTGCCTCGCTCCGCCATTTGACGCCTCGGCCGCGGACGGATAAATACACAGACTGGTGTATACACCTGCATCTTGGTGTATTGCATTGCACCTGCATTGGTCTAGTGTACACCTACATCTCTGAGAGTTTACCTTCGTCCTGGAGTATATTCAAGACTAAAGTATATTTTGCTGCTTGGTCAGTAGGCTATGGTAATGACTTAATAACTCTCCAGATCAGACTAAGAGATCTCAAGCTCAATACCAAACTAGCATGTAGAATAGCATGACTAATTAGTGAGAAATTGCTCAGAAAATCGTCTTATATAATTGTTTGTTACATAAAGAGATTTACCGCTGTATATTTTTTCACATATGAACGCCGTAAGGCTTATTTATAACACTGGACGAGTTGGTTAAGGGACAACTTTACTAATCATTTGTATTTTCTTAAATATTTCCTAGTATAATAGAGACTAGCAAGCTAGAAAATTGTATTTCTTTCTCTACCATAAAAATATTTATCTGCTATTATGGAATCATCATTGTATCGCAGGGATTAGGATGACGATTGATTTGATCTGATGGGGGGGGGGGGGGGGGTTCATTAGGTTCAACGCTTGCATGTGTGTAAGCTCGGGGTCAATCGTAAGTCCTATGAACCTCCGGAGGGTTATTAAGGCCACCACAAGTGCATACAGTTACTAACTAGCAAGTAAACTATAGGCCTGAACATGGTCGAGAACTAAAGTAAACTTAGTGGGTATACATACACTGAGGAGCAGGGGTATACTCCTAGATAAATTTATCCCCTGTGAGAGTGCTGAAATCTTGGGATTGTCAGGCCAAATAGGTTGATAATGCATGGTGTATGACCTACAGTTATAGTAGTAAGGGAAATGAACAATAATAATTATTATATCTTAGTTATCTTTTATATGTACGTGCCGAGTATCATCAATAATTCAATAAATATAAAAATTAAAGTTTTCTATTATCACATATATTTGTAATAACCTTTGGGATATATATTAGATGACATTATAGGTATCGTGGGTCATCACACCACTAAACTAACGTAAACATGTTTCTTCATTATTACTATTGATCTACCAGTGACACGAGGTTTAACATTTGCAGTGTTTCCTCGTAGCTCATTCCTCTTAGCCCTGGGACTAATCTAGTGGCATACCTCTGAACATTCTAAAACCTCGTTTTGTCTAACGAGATAAAGACTCCACGTTTGGGTCGCATATTCTAGAATTTGACATAAACAATATACAAGACCTTGAACGACCTCTGTTCAAAATCATAATATGAGCTCGTTATATTAACCAACCTTCCGTATGCAGTTGAAGTTTTTCTTTAAATATGGGTTTCTGGTGACAGGTTCGGCATGATATCAACACCAGCTCTTTCGCCCTGTCCGATTCTAGGAGGATTTCATCTCACGTAACACCGTGTTTGGCCTTCTGTTACCCCCAATCCATAATTTGCACTTGCTGGAGTTAAATTCAAGTAGCCACTTGAGGGACCATAGAGTCATTTTGTAGTTTCATGCAGTCTTTCATCGTCAGCATACATTAGGAACAGGATTAGCTCAGTACTCACCCCCGTGGGACGCTACTGGTAACATCTCGGCCACTCATCTGCCAGTAAACGTTGATTGTAACCCATGATACAATGTACTATCATTGTAATCCATGATATATATGTGCTTTAGCCTACTGTTTAGACCTATTGTCTTGTGTTTGACCCTCTGTCCTGTGTGACAGTGAATGACAGCATTATCCCCACTCTAATAAGACTTAATTGAATTCCTCAGATTAGGCAAAATTGTAATTAAATTTTGTCAATAATCTGCCAGTAACAGTTTTCTGTTGCATGGGTACTCCTTTATCCTCTGGAGCAGCGGTCGCCAACCAGTGGTCGGGGAGACAATTTTATTTGTGTATTGTATGTAACTGTATTTTCTTTAACTTATATTTAATGGCATCAAATAGTTCGACTAATAACTATCATTTCTTGTTTGGTCGACCGCTGGACTTAAAATTATGAATTGGGTGATGCGTGAGCACCTTCCTTGTCAACAACACCACAACATGTTGGAAAAATGTACTCTCCAATAATGTCGCATATACTTTTATCTCTTCACAAAACATGATGCTAGTGTCAAAAATAATATATAGACTTTCTTAATTTTAAAAACACGTACGGGATATTTTTATGTTATTTTTAAATACTCATTATGTTAAATATTAATAAATATTCATTATTTTATCTATAAATACTTACTACATCATTTGTAATTACTTATTATTTTATTTATTTATAAACACATATTATGTTGTGACATTATATAATGAAATGTGAAAAAATCGCGGAATTCAGATAACGCCATCAATGGAGTCCAATAAATGTGTAAGTACTTCACTCATAATGATATACTGCCAGGAATCTTGGCGAAGTATCCAAAATTTGCTTATTGTAGTTGCAGCCTACACATGACTGTAAAGCTGCCGCCCAGTTGGGTGGGTGTGGAGCACATGACTGTAAAGCTGCCGCCCAGTTGGGTGGGTGTGGAGCACATGACTGTAAAGCTGCCGCCCATTTGGGTGGGTGTGGAGCACATGACTGTAAAGCTGCCGCCCAGTTGGGTGGGTGTGGAGCACATGGCTGGAAAGCTGCCGCCCAGTTGGGTGGGTGTGGAGCACATGACTGTAAAGCTGCCGCCCAGTTGGGTGTGTGTGGAGCACATGACTGTAAAGCTGCCGCCCAGTTGGGTGGGTGTGGAGCACATGGCTGGAAAGCTGCCGCCCAGTTGGATGGGTGTGGAGCACATGGCTGGAAAGCTGCCGCCCAGTTGGGTGGGTGTGGAGCACATGGCTGGAAAGCTGCCGCCCAGTTGGGTGGGTGTGGAGCACATGGCTGGAAAGCTGCCGCCCAGTTGGGTGGGTGTGGAGCACATGACTGTAAAGCTGCCGCCCAGTTGGGTGTGTGTGGAGCACATGACTGTAAAGCTGCCGCCCAGTTGAGTGGGTATGGAGCACATGACTGTAAAGCTGCCGCCCAGTTGGGTGGGTGTGGAGCACATGACTGTAAAGCTGCCGCCCAGTTGGGTGGGTGTGGAGCAAGACTAGTAACTGTGTGACTCACCATAGATGTAAAGTGTCTTGTATAGTGACTGTTGTGAGCCTCTTGTTGAATCTCGTGGTATAAAAAGATTATTGATATATATTTGTGTACATGGATGTATATATATGTACATGTATATGTAACATTAACAATTGCATAACTAGCCTCAAGAGATTGTCACTTGCTTAGCTAAATGAACTATGGGGTTCATTTCCTGAACCCATTATGTACCTCTGTAACCCTTTCCATCACCGCCTACAGGATGGGCATGGGGTGCGTAAAATATATATATATATATATATATATATATATATATATATATATATATATATATATATATATATATATATATATATATATATATATATATATATATATATATATATATACTCTCATTTCTTCTTTTTATTACTCATTATGTTAGTTATTTTTGAGCGCACATGGAACTTAGTTATTTTTAATCTCAATATACATTAAGTAATTTTTCATAGTTAATTTGTAGGGGCGTAAGATGATAGTGGACTTCAGGTTAGGTGCCCAGGCCAGGCGCAGGGAGCCACTCCCTTACCCGCTCCCACCCCCTCCCCCACCACATGCTCCCACCCCACACCCTCACACCTCCCTCCGCCACCACACGCTCTCACCCCCTCTTCCACCACATGCTCCCACCCCACACCCACACCCCCTCCCCCACCACATGCTCCCACCCCACACCCTCACCCCCCCCTCCACCACCATAACACGCTACCACCCCACATGCTCCTCACGACACACTCTCCCCTGCCAACATGCGACCGTCTCCTTGCCTGGAGAGTAATGGTTATGGTGGCACTGAGTCACTCCCTCTCACCCTGGCCCACGCACTTCCCGCCAACGTAAGGTAATTTATATATTTATTCCCATAAGAGAGAATGTATGTCTGTCCAAAGTTGAAAGCCAGACGCTTCGGGCTACCCTGACCCAAATTTGCAGGGGAAATGGTCTGGGGTATAAGACGGACATAGGCTGGTCGGGATAGGCTTAAGTTTAGCACTATAAGAAATATTAGCAATTATAAACACCCCAAGGCCATTTTCTTGGAGTCTTTCATGAAGTCAAGTGTGAAATATAGCGTGTGACTAACGTGGAGTTTTTACTGAAAAGACACTAGGTTCTTGAGGTTATCTTGAGATGATTTCGGGGCTTTAGTGTCCCCGCGGCCCGGTCCTCGACCAGGCTTCTACCCCCAGGAAGCAGCCCATGCCAGCTGACTAACACCCAGGTACCTATTTTACTGCTAGGTAACAGGAGTAACTATAATAAAAAATAGGGAGAAAAGAGAGGGGAAAAATCAAAGTTTTTTGCTTTTCCTTTCTCTGCCATACATATGTTTCAGTGTTTCTTAAGGAGGAGGAGGGGGGGCATGGGGGTAGGAGGACGAAGAGGTAGGTAGAGACAGGAGAGACAGACCCTGCCAACGTTGGGCACCTCCCTTAGTACTTTATATATTTGTTTATACATTTAATAATCATAATTATTTTAATAATTATAATTATACATGCAATTATAATCTTGCTTATTTAAACCTGAATATTTTTTATTTTGTGTGTAGTTGTAATGAATATAATATATAAAACAAAATAGGCCTATTAATACAAGCCAGCTCCTATTGAAACTCAACAAAACTCACTCATATATATATGCCCTAACTTACATTTGAAATAATCAAGTTATCCCGCGTCTAATAAATCATCTGTTAATCTGCTTCATGAATCTTCAACCCTATTCCCAAACCAGTATTTACTCCTGGTCTAATCTGAATGTAAACTTGTCCAATTTGTATCCTATATTTCGTGTTGATATAATGAGCATGCGGTTACTATTCCATTTGCAATACCCTTTGTTCAGTCATATTCCCACATCTTATTCTCTGCCTTTCTAGAGAATGTATATTAGGCTTTTTTTAATTCTATTTTCCTAATGGTGGCAAGTATTTTCTTGGGATAAACTTCGTCATCCTTCTCTGTACGAGTTCTAGTGAACATGTCTTTTTTATACTACGGTTACCTTGATCTTGAGGTGTTTTCGGGGCTTAGCGTCCCCGCGGCCCAGTCGTCGACCAGGCCTCCTCGTTGCTGGACTGGTCAACCGGGCTGTTAGCCGCGGCTGCTGGCAACATGACGTATGAATCACAGCCTGGTTGATCAGGTATCCTTTGGAGGTGTTTATCAAGTTCTCTATTGAACACTGTGAGGGGTCGGCCAGTTATGCCCCTTATGTGTAGTGGAAGAGTATTGAACAGTTTCGGGCCTCTGATGCCCATAGAGTTCTCTCTCAGAGTTCCTGCTGCACCTCTACTCTTCAACGGGGGTATTCTGCAGATCCTGCCATGTCTTCTGGTCTCATGTGATGTTATTACTGTGTGCAGGTTTGAGACCAGCCCTTCTACTA